GCGGCCGTGCTACTGTTCGTGTAGCGAGTAAGTGCGGTCGTGGTGCACAAACCACCAATCAAGATGTTACTGCAATATGGCGTAGCACTAGCTCTATTTGAATGACTAAGCTTTTTTGTAGTGGCCATAAACTATAATACAACCTATTCACTCCATAAATTCAATTATCCTCGATATTGTTGAGGCACCATAGCTGAAGCTATGCGCAGTTTTATACTAAGGGTTTGAGCTGTTCCAGATACATTGAGCCTCTCATCAAATCTTAGTTTAGGACCTTGTGGTAATTGAAATAATCATTTAAACACTTCCCTATTATTCATCTGGAATAGTGGGAAGTTTTTCACATGTTGGATGTAACATACAGTCTCAATTCATTTAAAAGGTTTCAATTAATTAGTGAGTTGACTTAAATAAAAGACTTCAAGTGTACCGACAGGTCTTTCTAACATCTGACGTGGCATATGAAAACGTTACCTCTAGCCTGTAACTAGCACGCAACCTTTCCTAGTAGTAAAGAATACGACACGGCCTTAGATAAGATAGATCAAGAGTCACCAAACTGGGGCAGGGATTGAGGGAGAGTGCTATTGACTAGCATAGGATTAATTACTTTTCCGACTCGAAGTGCCAAGATTTGAATGAATTTCAGGACGAAAATAATATAGAAGGCAAAAATCACCGAAATCAGGATGTGATAAAGTATAATAGATGGGGTTGTTGTTAGTCTGTTAAACAAGCCTGAAGATCACTTGAGAAGAGTGTCAATTTTACTACCTAGAAACAAAATCTGATCAATTTACTGGGGTGGAATTTAAGAGAGGCACTTACTATAAGAGTCTATGAATAAAAGAAGAGTTTTATTTTGTTGAACTCAACTCTAGAGGATCACACTATTATGAGTAGATAATTGGCATGCTCATAGTGGCCCACAGTGACTAACAAAATTACAAAACCAGGGGAAATCATTGTTGACCTATCCCAAAGGATTCTTCGAAAGTTTGTGTGTGCCGATGCCTTAAATGTCACCTCAATTGACTGTTTTTTCGGCCATATCTTGAGCGGAAAAATATGATATTATTATAATGAAGCCTAGAGTAGTATAATTCCAATTCAGCTAGTTTGTGTCAAAGCCGATTATAGATGTTTAACCCTTTACTCAGTGGTATTTGCTTCAAGAAAATGGAAATGCTTAATTAGGAGTTGATATTAGTGCACTCGAAAAGCCACTTTGGAACTGTGAGAGGCTGCATTTGTGAGGTAATTGTTTTACTTTTGTGGCATTGTGAATATGAGAAATATGTCAACATTTGTCAGGTTTATCATAATCTTCTGGTCTTGTTATCACATACCAAACTTGATAAACTGAATATTACACTCTTCGTAATAGTAACTCATATATTTCTGATGTAATTAATCAAGATTAGGAATGACTATGGGGACTAATTTTCGAATATGTGTATGAATCATAGAGCGTAAAATCATTATCCGGTGATGTACGTTTGATAATATTTAAATTTACTCCATAGAAGAGAAAAATTAAATGCTTTTTAGATAGTAACATTGATAGTAAAATGATAGCTATTTATATATTTGACCTTCGTCACCGTTTGTTGTAGATAGATGGACCGAAACCTATAGCAATGCAATTCTAAAAATGATGTTGACTACGGTTTATTTGAGAATGATGCTGCATAATACGAGTAATGTGGTAGTGATTTGTATAGATATACCATCGAAAAGTCATAAATATTTACTTTCAATGCCATAATTACATGTTTTCCATTTATTATTAAGACAAAGACTGAATCGCACTGTTTATGCCAATAAACAGAAATAATAATATATGTTTGGATTTTAGAACCTTTTCTCGTTATTCTAACTACTGCCTTCAAACTATGATAATTTGGAAGTGTACAAAAATTTTAAGTCATTGTTCAAAGAGTGCTGAGATTTTTTTCATTGATAGAATATATCTATTTTGCTCTACTCAGTTGATTAAAATATCATGGGAATAAATCTCTACCGCTCATTATAAACCGATGAAAGCACATTCGTACTTCCAAAAGGCATAAAGATTCTTTGAACGAAGCAACGATAAAATAGTGTCAGTTGCGTTGAAAATAAAATGATGATAAACGTATGAACGGGATTATTTTGAGCATTAAAACTATTAACATTAGAAAATTGATGATGGTTGGAGACGGTGAATTTGAAGAGGAAAATAATTGAATTTCATCTTTCACAAAAGAGTAATGATTATTGATAGTAATCAGTATAGCGAAAAGTCAACTGCCGATTAATAGACATCAAACTACCATGACCCCACTGTATGCCATATTCGACTACTTTCACAGTACTCCTTTTTACCTTTTTACCGAAGTCAAATAAAGGGCTAATGAAAGCAATCCAAGCGACTTTCACTTGCTATGAATAAATAATCAGTATAGAGCCAAAGTTTAGAGGATCTTTAATGAGCCAAAATAAATTTTACTCTTACTTCGATATATCAAGATATAGATTACGAGAAATCTTATATAGAAAATGCTGCTTCAATTTGTTTGACACGATTCCACGTTCCTTTCACGCAAAATAGTAACTCTAAATAACAATAAAATTCAATTTGATAAAAGGAATTATTTTGAATGATAAAATGTTTCAAAGATTAGATAAATTTTTTTGAAGTAAACATATATTATTATGAGTATTGTTTGTTAAATTATTCAATCAAAGATCACGAATAAAATTAAATTAAATTTAAAATTACATGTTTTGCACGAACACTCGTATATAATCACAATTAAAGCCCTTAGATAAATTTTTAATGCGGGTGAGGTTATACTTATGCTCTCAATGGAAATTAGACGAATTCTGTTTTATAATGTTGTCGATATAAATATTAGCGATCAAACTAAGAAAAATAAAATTCATTAAGATGAAACAACGTTATTATTCACAAATTAAAGGATAGACACGCATGTAATTTTTATAAAAAAATCTTTTTTTAATATATCATGGCTTGGTTTTAATGCTTCAATTGCTCTCATCATCTTAAGCAACTGAATCGAATCGCATCCTCCTGTAGTTTGTCGGAAAATGTCTCTAGCGGGTTTGCGTAAGCAATTTAATAAAGCCAACCAGGTAAACTTAATTTTAAATTTTAATTAACATCTTAGTTCATGTCCGAGAAAATTGGCGGAGCTGAAGGCACAAAGCTGGATGAGGAGTATATTCATTGCGAAAAGGTAGTTTACTATTAAATATCACTATTTCATAGCAAATTGATGTGATGTCAAAACTTATTGAAGAGATTATTAATAAAACACACGAGTTCTTACAACCCAATCCCGCGACTCGAGCAAAGCTTGCAACCTTAAGCACTTTTAATAAAATCCAAGGCAAGGATAAAGCGGCACCATACCCACAACCTGAAGGACAACTTGGTGATTGCATGCTGAAATATGGAAATGAACTGGACCATGAATCTTTATTCGGTTTGTCGCGCTCTTGTTTCTACAATTTTCCCATTCCTGTTCACTTTTCATCCTTAATTTTCCCATTTTCCCAGGTGAAAGCTTAATTCAGGCTGGAAACGCTTTCAAAAATTTAGAAGATGTAAAGTATAACATGGAAGATCAAGTGAAACGGGAATATATAGAACCTCTGCGAGGTATTCAATCCGTTGAACTTAAGGAAATCAATGTATGTTGCTATAATCTGTTCAAAAAATCTATTATATCGAACGAATTCTTACCTACGGAATGTTATTTTACAGTTCCATCGCAAGAAACTTGAAGGTCGTCGTTTGGATTTTGATTGCAAAAAGCGAAAGAAAGAAAGCAGTGAGTTGATATATTTTCCTTACAATATCAAATCTTTTGATTTATGTCTATCGTAATGCTGTGCGTGAATAGTTAACTAAATAATATTGGCTTTATCTAAAGCACGATTTATTTTCCAAAGAATCTAGACGAACCGGTGGGTATTTTCGTTCTTTTTTCGTATGTTGATATCTTTTATGTCTATTTGTGTGCATTTAAAACTTCTTTTGGTAGAATTGACTCCAAATTTACGTCTACAAACAACTCTTTTATGCATGAATTTGGGAGATTAGGTACAATTTGTCTGGCAAGATTAACGTCCCACTTATATCTAGTTATTGTCAGCTGAAATTTTCTCGCTTAGTTTTAATTATTAATAGTTTATATGTATATTTCTGCGCAATTAATGAAATCGATTTAATTACAGACACGTTGTTTTCAAAGATATTTCGAAAGTCGAAAAGTAAGTGTAGATTAGTTCTATTGATCTGTGAGATCTTTTCGCTGAACCGTATTAGAAATTGCACTATTTGAAGAGAACGTCAAGAATAGTCACTCAACCACTCGTTATTTGTTCTTTTGGTTTTTTAAAAATAAATTTTTAGTCATCTCCAAAAGTAGCTTATTTTGCACAAGCGTTCCCAACTCACTTAGTAATCACTACCTTTGCTTCCCTCCCCTCTTTTCGCAAGATGCTTGCTTTCCATCTTTCCCCATTAAATGTGAAAATTTTTGGTATCTTCTCTTATCTGATGCTACTGGTTACTCAATGTTTACCAGTTTTAGCTTAATTTCCTTCCTCTTTACTTGGGCTCTCTCTCTCTCTCGTTTTGTGTAATTCAATTTGCCATAATTTGGGTTTGATGGGGTTTCCTCTCTTATTTACCGTGTAGATCCACAGGCTGCCAAGGTTCTTGAAGATGAAGTGAAAGTTGCCGAGGACAAGTTCCAGGAATCAAAGGTCCTCGCGGAGACAGCTATGGCCAACTTCTTGGCTTCAGATGTAAGTGTTTTTTTTTCGCATTTCTCACTACTTCCGCTGCTACATTCAGCAGCTAGCTGTGTGTTTGCACGTATTCATGAATAATCACACAATTATGTACCGAATATCTAAAATTTGATTGCACAAATACACAGGCACAAACGCATACAAATACACTTGCAAGCTAACTTGCTTTGCTACATTCTGATGGGTCTTTGTATATGTTCGTGAGTAATTAAGAGTTTGAATTGAAATTGATCAAATTTTGTCCTATTATTGCCAGTAGTATGTAGTGTAATGGCTTAAAAATTGTTCGTAAAAAATTTCGATTGGGGAACTCATAATAGAAGCTGTGGCGCTCTATTTCTTTAGGACACTTTATAAACTTAGCTATTTATCAAGTGGAATATTTGTAGAGAGTGTCTGGCTTTAATTTGATGCTGAGCAACTTGCAAGTAATTGAACTAATTGCCTACGAAGAAATAGTGTACATTTTTTATTTTCACAAAATGTTATCTTTCAACAACTCTCTATGTTTTTATTATAGCGTGTTAGTGTCAGTTGCAAAGGGCTAAATTTTCTCACATTGAGAGCTTTTTAAGAGAATTACTTAGATGTGTTTTTTTGCCATATCCTATTTCGAAGTGGGGTTTTATTACTTATTCCTGCTAACTTCAGTGATAGATTTTACTTTGGTGACCCTTACTGATCCAGAAGAAGGTAAATTATTGAAAATAAATTAAAATTTCATAACTGTTTTTGTATGCCTTTTAAGTTAAGGGATTAACTTGCTGTCTCTAGTAATCAGCAAAGTTGCAGAGGCATTCTCAGAAAAAACTCAGTGAGCAGCAATCAAGATCTCTAAGTTTCGAAGAAATAGACTTGATGGTCTTCCTTCTTGGCCAGTTGTGATATTACTAATAACGAAAGTTGACTGAGATGTGGTGTTTAGTTAGATCGAGTGTCTGTTTTTCTACTGGTTAATTGTAACGTTCCGAAATGGTGGCGGAATAAAGTAATTTCCAGATGCCCTCAAAGCATGACATTCATTTTTAGTTCCACTGGGGAGGCATTAAACCTAAAAATATATTTTATTTACCTCACTATCTTATGCGCCTTGTAATTGCGATTTCCATCATTAATCTTTTCCACTTCAGAATTGGCCGTTGTTACTTATCCTTATGGCATTTCTTCCCTTTTAACTAACTTTTTTGAAATGAAATACGCTTTGGTATTTATCGGATTAACAATGCTAGAAATGTATTTTAGTGCCTCTTATGTTCGATGTCCTCCAATATTTTGTCATTCCTTTGTTAACTATGGGATGAAATCGTGGAACTCACTTAATGAGGGAATCAATTTTCCCATTGATTTTATTAACTAGTTTCAACTAGCACAGTTTGCCTTTCTGCTCGCTTGGTGCGTACCGATGTTCATTGAACTCGTGATTATTGACATCTAAGGCGATTACGTTAGCTACTGGACAGTTAGTCAAATAAATCGATGCTTATTTTCAAAATAGCCTTCACTTATACGATCTCCCTATAAGGTCATTATTATTAATTTGCTTTCGTGACCACTGCAGTTGAGCGTCAATGTAACTCTATTCTCTTGCTCTTGCTTACTTATGCTCTATGTTACAAAAGGCGAACATTTGTGCCGTCGGAAGTGGTTTAATCTCTCTCTCTTAGATGCTATAGTCGCCTTAATTTTTTTTGCATTTAATGTTAATGTTGTCGTTTAAAGTGCTTTGCGAGCCATAAAGATTATGATTGAAGTAGGTTACTATTATCTCTTTCTGCTCTTACTTATGGACATTATCATTCATCAATTCAACTGTCGTTGCTTTGTTATGTAATTATTAACTATAGTTAAGTTATAGTACCATTTCCCGTATGTGAAGGCAGGAATAAATGCTATTTCCTATTAAAAGAATTGTCCAGACATTCCAGTATTCCTATTGAAATACTCACGATAACTCTTTTTTTCCATAGTCTTTGAACGGGTTTCTTAGGTAGATGAAATACGTTTATCGATTTTGACAGGTACAGATGAGCTCTATTACTTGTGGATACACATGGATGGTTTTTAGATCTTGTGACCTCTAATGCCATACTGAATATACACATATTGACATTGTATGATTATACGGGGTAAATATATTTTTTTCTCTAATCTTATGGACTGTGGATATCTACGACTTCGCGAATAATGCTATCCCATTTTTACACGCCTAGCTGGCAGTAAATTTTTTTAAATGAAGTCCAACGAATGCACTGTTTATTGAATTAGTCACCTCATATTTCCAGTTTGATTCGAGAGAGTATCTTTGTGTTATCAGTTTATTTCCTTTTCTAATAGAAATAACTGAAGGAAGTATCATCATTTGGTTAAGAAATGTACTCGAGAGGCTCATCCTGCCTTCAATTTTCTGAAATTTTGTAAGTCTTTTTTCAGGAAGGAGCGTTATCATATAGAATAGCTTCTAGTAATAATTCAACAGAACGCGAACAGTGTATGTTCAACATGTTTGAGAAAATGGAAGAATCTACTTATTGGTGCAATACCTTATTGAAAGCGAATGTGCACCGCAAGATTGAGACTCTCAAGCTCATTTAGAGGTACAAATTTCAGCAGACTTTAATTTACGTTGAATTGGGCAAAATTATGACAATCACTACGAAAATAAGGATTTAATTATTCAAATTATAATGTTCAACGTATTGTCCGTGCGATTTAATGAATAACTATTAATTAGAGAGTGGAACAAAGTATTGCCCTTGCTCTCAATCTCTCTGCATGTGCGCATCAGACACCATGGCACCGGCGTATTTTGTTGCTTTTCTCCTCAAATTTATCACCACGACCTTAGTTTCACACTAATCATGAATCGAGTTGTAATAATTTCCAGTCGAAACTGGACTTACAAATTTGTTCAACTAGCGCACTGCAGCTTGTCTAAATTCGGTCAAATAGTGTTACCAATCATGTTTTGAAAATTAGTCAAATCTTGTAATTCCTTCATTCTCTATCTTTTTTTTCTACTGCTGCTGTTGATTCCAGTACGAACACATCAGCGCTCTTGCAGAATTCGTAGACGCACAGGCCAATTATTATCGACATGCTACGGAAATTATGGAAAATCTGCACAAAGTCCTTCTTGAAAAGTGAGTTCCGGATCTTTTCTCTGACCTTTTTTTTTCATTGCATGATATTTACTTTCTGTGTGGCGACTTCGTTTATCGTATACCCTTTAGTAAGACTCTTTGTCACATAAACACTGTCAAATTAATTAAAGTAAATTGAGCCATAACGGCAATATATATGTATGTATGTGTTGAAGTATTACGCGTGTGCTTGTGAGTGTATGTTGAGTGGGTATAGCATTCGTGTTTGTGGGATGGACTCATTGTGTGGCAAACATGTCATCCACATTGGTATAGTTACCAATTAGATCTTCTCCTATGCTTGTTTGGGGTGGGAAGTTAGTTATTCAAGAACCCCATATAACACCGTCCCAATGCCAAATTCTTGAAAATCCTAATTAGGCCTAGTCGTAGTTGTATATCTTTACTTATAATGGGCTTGTGAGCGCCAGAGCAATTTCATTTTGCATCTGTCTGTATTTCTGTGAGACATTTTTGCAGCATTGTAATGGAATTTCTATATATTTTTTTCCCAAGGATTGATTATTTTTCATGCACCTAATTTGAGTTCAGAGGTAACGTCGTCACAGTGCATGGCTTCGTCTGATGTTGATCTCACCTAAATTAGGTTAATTGCATCCCCGACATGCAATATATTTTGGGTTAATTTGCATGAGCTTGGTTGGTGACTATGTTGTGTGAACATTGAAAGGTTTATTCAAAGTAAAATAATTAGTTTAAAAAGGCCCTTTTCTCTTTAACTTCACTTATATTCATTCTTTTTGTGCGGTTTTTTGCCAAATGATTTATTATGGAAACAAACAATATTACCTTGTAAATAGTGTTGGTAGTTTGGTTCTTTACCCGATTGTCAACAAATGCCATTTTGTGTTTGAGTATTACTTATTTGCCAACTGGTATTCAAATTTTATTCTTTGGTTGACTCCATTCTATCCAATGGGCGTAATTCAGCGTTAGGAATGCGTGAAAATATGTATCGAAAATTGAATAGAGCTATGTGTGTGTGTGGGTGTGTGACGATAACGTCATATGTTTATCCAGAGGCGGCGAGGTCTATTCTCATCTGCGCGCACACTCAGTGGTAACGGTATCCAACTGCTCTCATTAATTTTTGTCCTTTTACTTTGAAGCAATGCCTTGTGAGACCTCTTTTTTTAATGCAGATACGAATTAAGTTATCTTTTGGTAGGTGTCTTTGATTCATCCTCTAGTTGTTTGTCTGAATAGGTTCTTTTAAGGTAAGAAATGGTTGACGCTTCTTACTTGGTTCTGATAGATTGTCTCAATTTCTTCCCAATGCAATGTTATGCTGAATCAATTTAGTTGCTATTGCCTATTTACTTATGATGATGATGATGGTGGCTATTACGATTTAGATCTGGCTGTGAATGGATGCAGGTCCAATCACATGTTTGGAAGCACAATCTGAGGAGTTTCTATTTTGGAAAATGTGCAATATAGGCCAATGTGCGTTGGTGGTGGTGGTGCAGTGATTGTTTCTTTTACAAAGTCAAAGCTTACGTGCTCGATGTTCCACGCCGCGCACCAATCGTTTTGACTGAGTCTGGCTAATAAAGTGGGTAGCGGAATCCCATTTACTCAGAGGCTCTTCTAAGTGAACTTGGATGTTTATTGCCGCCCATTATTTATTACCGTGGGGGGGGGGGGGGGATCTCGTAGTATTCTTATGTGTGGTTTACTTATTACACGCAGTGGAATGTGATCGAGTTCCACAGATGGATATGCATAAATTGTATTGCCATTAGTCATTTGATAGAAGACATGATGTGTTTTTGAATTGGAGAGGCTCTAGTGTGTCGTTCATTTTCCGAATCTGTTCTCTTTATTGCAATTATGTCAGTTTCAATCGTATTTTATTCATCAACTAATGGAATTTTAAATAGGAATGGTCACTAGTTGATCTTTTTGCTCGCAAAGCGACAGATGGGTATCTATTGATAGGTAATTGTTTGTTTGCGAGAAATTGTATCCAACAGATAAATTTTTTTATAAGGAAGAATTCGATTTCAGTCTGCCATTAACCCACACTATTTTGGTGCCAGTATATATATGGAGTTTTGAGACTTCTTTTAGTGAAATTATGGCCTTAATTTCATATGCTGTATGTATGCTTTGCTCCTATTCGGTTTAGTACTTTGATGATGATGATGATGATAGCCAATGTCCTTGTTTGTTCTTTTGTTTGCAGGAAGGATGAAGCACAAGCGCGAGGCAAACAGCCACACATTCCAAAACCGGTTCAAATAACGGGAACACTGAGCACCGGAGACATTAACTCCAAGAATGGATCTCTGAGTTCACCAAGAACACCAAACAAGTCACCGGTGCCAGGAGGTTAGCTTACCATTTTACTCTAAATTCTACTTTTCATCCTTTCTTATCATTTTAATCATCATTGCATTTTTGGCCTCGGTTTTTTTTGTTCTCTCACATCAAACATATCTCATTTAATCACTTTCGGAGGTGGTGTTTTGTGTATATGGACTGAATACACATATGCTTGACCGTGTAGAACTTTGCCATGCCTTCTGTGCTTTTATTACCTCCTTATTCCCTTGAATGAGAGTCAGGAGGCTGATCATTTGGTGGTTTTGATAGGGGGGGGGGGGGGGGGCGATGTGTGCTCTTGTCATACAAGCTTTGTTTCTCCTTGCTTTCGGGTTCATTTCAGTTGATAAAAGTAGCATTTACTTGGAAACGAGTGCAAAATATATGGCCTAATATCGATGTTGATGCTCATTGATGCTGAATTGCGTCTATGTAATTGTTATAACGTCTAACGGATCACTTAAGTACTTATTTGCCATTTCTAATGTTCGCATTTCGTTATAGCGAAAATCTGTCCCTTCTCCTTTTTTTTCCAAACTTTGTTGACGAATTTTCCCTTTTGTTGCAGACCGTCTCTATTTCTTCTAAATGCGTGTAATATCTGCACTTTATCGTACTAATAATCCCCGACGGGATGGGGCGGTATTTATTAAAATTTCTTTCCCCCCCCCCCC